CCGACTTTCGACTGCATTTCTTTCCGACTTCCTGCAAAAAACTGCATTAAGCAAAGAACGACTACGAGTCAAACGAATTTTTGTACGTTAAATATGCTGATGCTATGGTTGTTGGCCATTCTCTCAAAAGTCAGATACATCTCCAGTTACTGAAAGATGGCCTGAATCATGTCTTAGCATGGTCGTCAGCAAATGGCCTTCTATTAAACGACCAGAAGTCAGTCCAGTGTGTTTTTCGACTGCGGCCCTCTCCCAGTTCTGAATCCATAGACATTCTTCCCAATGAGGTACCCTCTTTCCGGTACCTTGGTTTTACTCTGGCATCCAACCTCTCTTAATATTGAAGGCCTCTTCACTAAAATTCATAAACTTTGATATTATATCCGCTGGTTGCGTTCAGATCGCACATCGCAAGCCCTAATCTGGCGATATTTTTGGTTGCAAGTTTCGCCTCCTTTAAAATTTATACTTAAAGAAAGTGTAGTTTACGGTTTTAAAAAATTTTATAAATTACCGAATAATTTTGAAATCTACTGACTGCTACAGTATAATTCAAAGTTTACAACCTGCGCACTGTGTACATCCTGTTTAAGGAAAATTACGTTTTCGCCTACAGTTTGAAGAAGAAGTCACATAGTTCTCATAAAATGTTGCAATAGGTGTGGAGCATGCTTTATACAGTATCGGCGGCATGACAAAGTTGACTGATAAGATGTATTATGAATGAACACCTCATACTCGTAAAAAAGTTCATAATCATACATTTTTCTAAATCCGAAAGATACCCTTTCTTTAAGTATACATTTTAAAGAAGGCGTAATTTGCTACAAAAATAGTATTATAAATGCTACTACATGAAATATGTTCTTCGCGCATGTTTTCCATAAAATATATTTGAATTTATAAAGGCTATCAAAATTAATGATAAAAACGCATACTATATAAGTAGTTGCTTTTTACAGTACACATGTTTTGTTAGTGGTCAGAACGAAGCTCGTTAAAAAGCCCGCATCCTATCATGACTGAAAGGACTTCAGAATATGGGTACACGATAATCAGTATGACAAGCTGAGTCAACGCCGATTAGCGAAAGAGTAGAAACATTTCGCTTATGTCGTCATGTTGCACGAATTCTGGCGCGTACTGTACATTTCGGGAGGTTCCTGTTCTCCTGTCCTGTCGAAGTGGCTAAATAAGTCATCATAACGAATAAGTGAGGTATACACAGAACGCAGTGGGATGTACTATAAGTCAGTGCCTCGATTCGCAGCTTCTGTCGTCTAAATCTGCAGCGAAATAGTAAGACAATGCTACAGAAATCTTCATCCCCCTCTTATTCTTCTTCCTCAGCCTCAGCCTCCACCTCCCATTCTTCTTCATCTTCTTCTCCGCCCACATCTTCTTCTTCCCCCCTTTTCCTCTTCCTCTTGTCCCTCTTGTCCCTCTTGCTCATCATCATCATCATCATCATCATCATCATCATCATCAT